TTTGCCAGGATTATCACACCTCCCTCTGTATCACTCTTCCCATCTCCCATCTCACTTTTCCCAACCCCTCCTTCACCACGGGAGTGATAACTCGCACTCAGGTTTAATCGTGTTACTCCCTTAGTAACCTTTAATTCAGTCCAGATGCATGTTTTTGTTTCTTCCTCCGTGCCCTTGCTCTAGAATTCTTGCCCTCAACTCATCTTGCTGGTCTGCCAGGTCGCAGTCTTCTCCCAGGAGCCAGTTCAGCACTGCCTCCCTGTGAAGCCCTCCCTAAGCACTCGGTGAGAGACCCGGTTCTCACTTCTCTTGTAGTGCTTGCTGCACTCCCTCAGTGTGTCCTGGACTGTGTGCTCCAGGAGCAAGATTCTGCACTACTGAGCTCAGCGTCAATCTAGAGAGAGCTGGTTCTTACTGGATAAAGAGACAAGTGGTAAGGGGCTGAGAGCCCGAGCAAACCTGATCCTCTGTTCACAACAAAGGAAGATCTGCCAAGCAGTTCTTTCCCCAGGAGCCTGACAAATACTGCTGGGTCAGGAGCCACATGCAGCCACTAGGAGAACCCACCACTAGACTGAAAAGTCACCTGACTGTAAGGAACAACTTAACGGTGCCTAAATCATAGAACACAAGTGGGTCAGTTTTCACAGTGGCTATTTTCTGTCTCTATGATGCTTTCTCTGCCACTTTGAGGAGCCACCGTGGCTCACTCAATGGACTAACAACCTAACTATCCCTGTCCCTCAACAGCAGAAGGCAGTAGTGGTCTGAAACGCCTTTCCAGGCTCCCGTAGTCAAAGGGCAGGGCCTTAGTATTCCCCTTCTCCTCCCAAGGGAGGTCCCAGTCTTCCTCAAGAAAATGCTCCATGATCTCCACTATGTTCTGACACGTATCTAAAAACCTTCCTCTCACCATTTGAGCCCATTCTTCTCCTGACTACTGCAGAGATTTAACTTGTTTCTGTAACCTTGAAGCCCTGGGAACTGAGTAGATACACAGCAAGTACTCAGGAACTAAACAAGGAGTTAACAGATAATCTAGTTCAGTGAGGCTAGATTAGCATTTCTCTCCGGCATTCAGAGACCCTCTCTGTTGCCTTATGCCATTCTTCAAGTATCTTTGGCCTATGAGAACACAGGAGGCAGGGTGTTGCCCAACACAATTAAGTGCTTAAAATCTCCATTTGTTTTTCTTGTAGCAAATCTCTTTCTTCCCAACCACAGCCAAAGACACAGATTGTGCAGCTGCACCAGCCTGTTCAGCAGACTAGAGTGCCAGAGAGCCTCTGCCTGCTCCTCATGCAAACGGTCGCCCAAAGTCAACCCAACTGCTCAGCAGACAGCCTTGAGCAGCTGGGAGTTTCCCTCAGTCAGTAAGGTGAATGACATATAAAGCAGGCCACTGCAAAATTTCTCGGGGAGCATCTGTTCTCAGACACACTCAAGACTGCCTAAGAGTGGAGCCTAGGGAACAGGTTGCCAAGAGCTCTCATTTTTTTCCACAAGGAGACAGGAAGAGACCCAGGGGAACCCAGGGGTAGGCCCAGGCTTGGTTCAGCTGCTGAGACACCGCCAGGCCAATTAAATAACTGATGTGATGGGGAAGGACGGAAGCCACTCCTTAGAGGCAAACACGCAGCCCTGACAAGGCTCCATACAGCTGTATCAACAGCAGCAGCAACAACAGGGCTGGGATCTCCTCCTCTTCCTCCCACTAGCTGAGAGCTAATGCTTAAATTAGCACCTTGGAAACACCCAGTTGGGCTGGCTGTGCCTTCTCACTCAGCTCCTGCCACTCCCCCAGGCCTCCTTTCCAAGCTGAGTTTCTCTTTCAAGTAAGGGGGAGGAAAAATAAGTTTCTCCCTCCCCACTACAGCTCATCTTTCCAATAAAGAATGGTCTCTGGATTCCTTCCACCACTGTGTGGGGAGCGCTATTCCATGATTGAGCCCAGCTAACAGTCCTCTGTCCACTCAGCTGGGTACTGAGAGGGGTCATGGTCCTGCTTCTCTGGGGCTTGAGGAAGTAGCCTCCATTCTCCCCTCAGGGCAGCTCAGAAGCAGAGAAACTTTCACTAACGTGCTAACTCTGAGCTCCAGGAGGGTGGGCCACGTCCATGTGGCCATGTCCCTAATATCTGGTGTAGTATCTGGAAGAGAGGATGTTCAAGAATTCTTTGGTAAATCAATTTGTTGAGTCAGCGGTGTCAGACTATGTGATTCTTTATGGGGAGAAGGAGGAGCTAATGTTTAAATTTTAAAGGGATAATTTGTCTTCATTTCATAAGTGGAAAAACAGGTCAGGGAAGGAAAGAGATTTCCTAGAGGTCTCTAAAATAAAATAAAATAAAATAAATCATAGCATAGTTCAGGCCTGTTACTCTAGTTTTTATGGTCTGCCCAAATACCCCTAAAGATCCATTCTGCCCTTTGCCTCTACAGTATGTTTCTTGATTCCTTATGGCCCAAATGAATGCTCCTGGGGAAATGCCACTCAAGGTTCTGCTGATCTTAATAAAATACAGGGCATTTAAAAAGTTTGGAGATGTCTCTGGACTACAACCTGGGGACATAAGTCAAGAAGCAGAACAATGTCTATGGGCCTCAAATAGGGATTGACTATATTACTATTTCCACAAAACTTACTCAACCTCAACACAGTGTTGTCTTGCAGATAGAGGGGTACTTTAGCCTTTAAGAAAAGGGTCTAAGATAGATGCAGTGGCACACACCAGTAATCCCAGCAACTCTGGAGGCTGGAGCAGAAGGACTATAAATTTAAAGCCAGCAATTTAGCAATACTCTGTCTCAGAATGAAATAAACAGGGCTGGGATGTAGCTTAGTGATAGAGCCCTTTTCTAGCTCACAAGATACTTACAAATACCTCCTTGCTACAGATTATTTTGCTACTCCATGGCCACACAGACCAGAAGCAGCTCAGAAGTTTTCTACCCACACAAATTGCTATTAAGATTTTCAGGCAAGGCTGGGCGTGGCAGCACATGCCTGTAGTCCAGAGGCTGGGTCAGGAGGATCGCTGTGAGTTCGAGGCCAGCCTGGGCTACATAGTGAGACCGTCTCAAAAACAAAAAACCAAAACCAACCAACCAACCAAACAAACAAAACAACCAATAAACTTCAGGCAATATCAGAGGCAGCAAAGACAAGGGAGAGATCCTTCTGGCCCCAGTCCTCCTTCCCTTTCCTTGAATAGCCACTACCTCCCTTCTCAGCAACCCCAGGTAGGAGACCAGTATTAACTCACTGCTTCATTCTCCAGACTTCCTTGAACCCTTTTACTCACTCTGCTTTGGTTCTTGATTAGAAGCTTGGAATTGGGCAGTCTAGTTTGACAAGTAAAACTGGCTGGATAGATAGAAAACTCATTAAGAAAAGTTATCCTGCCCCAGCCCAAAGTCCTTCAAGTTCATGGGACAAACTTTTCTCAGGGGTTATCTGGCTCCCAAAGAATCCAGTGGTGATATCAGGCAAGGCGAAAGTCCTGCAACATCTCTGTCCTTAGTGTAATATTGTACACTTCCATTAATATTGTACATTTCTGATTTGGCTTCTGGAACTAAATAGTCACAAAAGGGGAAAAAAGCCACTCATCTCCAAATAGGTGGCCACTTATGATTTCACCATCCCCCAAAAGGTGTGGCGTACGGTCATGGTTCCCGGCCGAGGCCCATCTTGGCTACTACAGCGGGCAGGTTACTTGCTTTAAAAAGCCACAAAGCACTGTGTCAGCCAAGGCGCTGCCTGCCCAAGGGTACAACATGTTCCTGGCCACCCTACCTAACACAGAGGGAGGAGTCTTTATAAAAGCCCGGACTTCAGGACTTGGAGAGCTCAGCTCCAGCAGGAAAGGAAGAACACAGTACCCACACCTTCAGACTCGCGGCCTGCCTTGCCTCCTACCAGCTCCCGCTAGCTCGCTAGCTCAGACTACAAGAGGAGAGAGGGTGCGCTGCAGGAGCACAGCCGGAGCGCTCCCTTCCCAGCCCCTCTCTAGACCAGCGAGCGAGGCCTCTGCACTTCCTACCCGGTTGCCAGGCAGAGAAACTAGTCAGGTCGCCCCCACTCACCCACCCCCGGGCCTTAGCAGACCGTACCGTACGGTCTCCTTTAGGCCTGGCCTCCATAGACCCGCGTCACCCTCCCCCTTCCATCCCCTAGGCGCCGGCAGCGATGACATCATTCCTCCCTGACTCGGGGACCGCGGACAGGCGGCAGGATCGGCGCGGAGCAGACTCCGAGCATGTAGGCCTAGGATGACAGGGGCTCCTCTGAAACGGTGGGCACAGGCCGCCCGGCGCAGCCCCACCTCCCTCCAGTGCGTACCCGAGCGCTCCCATCTGCACAATCGCTGCCGCACACCTTCCTTCCCGTCCCCACGCCCTCATCCTGGACTGCCCGCACTCCCCTTCCGAGAGAAACGGAATTCCCGGGTCCTACCCTGACCTCTAGCTCCATCGGTCCCGGCCCCAGCTCGGCGTCCCTGTCCCCGTGCAGGGGACTGGCAGGCAGGCTCCTCCTCTCCCAGAAGCCTATTCCCACCCCTCTCAGCCCGAAGGCGCCCCCGCCCCTCCCCCGCCCCAAGCACCAGAGGCCTTCGGGGCTAACGCCTCCCCTCTCCCCATCCCAGCCCCCGGTGCCTGCGTGCCCGCGGCCCGAGGCGCCCCGCGGTTTCCTCGCCACTCTGTCCGCCTCCACCAGCGGTGCGCACCATTGTGCCGCCCTCCGATCCTTGCTAGGGCGTTCGGCCTCTGCCCACCGTGCCCTCCGCCCTCCTGGGTCCCTTTGGTTGCACCTTGCGCATTCTCCCACGCTTTTCTCGTCCTGCAAGTGCCCCTTCTCGGGTCATGCGTTTTCAGGGCTGATCCCCATGCGAAGGCGCACCTCCGGCACGATCCCCACGGCCTGATTCCCTCCGTCCCTCCCTCCCCTCGGGGGGCGCCCCCTCCCGGCCTCGGCCTGCCCGCCGCCCGCCCCCTCACCAGCGGCTGCATCTCCGAGTGCGCGGTGGGCACCTGGAACCGGTCGATCTCCTCCATCATGGTGCCGGCGAGCGAGCGGGCCAGGGGCCGGGCGCGGCCGGGGACGCCGACTGGACCGCGCGGGACCCCAAGAGCCCGGCGGGTGGTGCAGACTAGGCCGCCCCGGAAGAATCGGGCGGGCAGGCAGCGAGACGGAAGGACCGGTGGGCCGGGGGCGCGAGATTCGCAGTCTGGCCAAGGCCGGCGTGGCTCCGTGGGCTTGCCCTGCGCTATCGCGGCTGTGGCCTGGCGGAGCTGCAGATCTTGCCTCGCCTCCTCCTCCGCCGCCGCCTCCTGTCAGCAGCTCAGCCACTGCGGTGACTCGGCAACTCCACTTCCGGGTCCGGGACACCGCCCGGACACTGCATTATTCATAAGGAGGCGGGGCCCGAGCGCCTCAGCCCCGCCCACAGGCGGAGCGCTGAGAGCGCGCTGGAGCGGTCGGCTTGCCCGAGGGGCGGGGCTCGGCGGCGCAGGCGGGGCCTTCGCCCTCAGGCCCGCCCCTTCTCCGGGCCGCGGGGGCGGGCGGTCGCGGCGCCTGCGCCCTGGCTATCTGTCAGTTGCTGGGTAACCGCGTCCAGGAGGAGCTGATTCTATCCTACACGGGCGCGGGGACCCACAACGACAGCTGTCCCCAGAGCACCCCTGCGACTGGGAAGTGAGTCTGGATTTCCTGTGTGTGGGCCAGGAGAGGGACGAACTTCTCGTCCTCAGGCGAGAGAGCGTTTCACAGGCTTTCTGGGGGTCGAGGTGCTTCCTGCTTCTGCGGAGATGGCTCCGAAACCGCCTCGTAAGCAGGTAAAGCCTAGCCTGACCTCCTGCCTTCTGCTGACATCTCCCGCTGACCCCGGATCGTCCCTGCCTGTGTTTCGCTTTGTTTTTGCGGTACTGGGGACTGAACCGAGGCCTTCGCAGCGAGCTATAACCCCAGTTCTTCCTAAATTTTGAGAAAGGGTCCCTCCAAGTCATGAATTGCCCAGGCTAGGCTCGAACTTTGATCGCCTGCCCGTCTTACAGGTGTGTGCAGTGTCCGGCCTTTCCCTGCAGACCCCTGACTTCCACCCCGGCTCCTGGCCCGTGCGTCTCAAGCCTCTGGCTGCCTGCTCTGCTTTCCTCTCCGCATTTTCCTCTCCGCTGTACTCACTCTGCAGACCCAGCCCGACCAGGCCATGCCCCTTAACACTCCCGCTCCTCCTTCCACCAGTGCCTTCTTCGTTGCGTTCACATCCCATCTGGAAGGAATTACTTCTCCAACCCTCGCTGTCTGCGCAGCACCCGACGAAGTGAGGGTGCAGGCCTGGACCCTTCGGAGCCCTTGCAGTGGGCACAAGAGAACTGTGTAGGAGAGAGAGTAGGTCTGTGCAGGAGTTTGGTTTGGATTTTTTTCTAAGAGATGTGTGGAGAGGGAGAGGTCAGGTAGGGAGGAACAGAGAGGCCTCTTCCCAGCCCTACCCCTCCTCCTTCACATTCATCTTTCCCGTGAGCCTCTGGCTCACCCAGTGACTCATTCAGCTCTGTGAACATTATTATGTCCTTGTTGCCACCTGGCCAGACATCATCCCTTCTCAAGAAACCCAAGAGTCACCCCCTGCTGACCCGCTGAGTGCAGTTCTGCTTTCCTCCCAGCCTCACCCAGGAAAGCAAGGTAGCTGCAGCTGCTTGATGAGCCCTCTGTGGTAATACAGGGTTGACTTGCTCAGTCCTTTAGAAATCCTTTTTCCGAATCCTTTATTATTTGCTGGACATGGTGGCACATGCCTGTAATACTAGCAGGTGGGAGGCTAAGGCAGGAGGACTGCTGAGTGTTGGAGGCCAGCCGGAACTACATAGCAAGATCCTGTCTCAAAAAAACAAAACAAAACAAAAGAAATCCTTTATGATTTACCACTATGAGGCTAATGTACTGTTTCTAGTTCTGTAAAGCAGAACTTCTATTTATTAATTCTTTATTTATTCTAAAATTTCCACACTCATGCTTGGGTGTATTGAGCTTAGGAAATCGTGTCTGTATCCATGCTATTTTTATGGCTTCATGTATTTTGGGTTGGTCTCTTCCATATTAACTGGCTCCTCTGCTTTTACCTGGCCTTCAAGGGAGGAGACTTCCTATATGGCCAAGCCCTAGCTTTACGTTAGGATTGAACTGTTCTGAAGCTTTTGTACTGTTTGGACCTATTGAGCCTTAAAACATACACAAGTAGTCTGTTTGTTTTGCAGTACTGAGACTTTAACCCAGAGAGCACTGAGGTACATGCCTAGCCCTTTTAATTTTTCCAAACTCTGAGACAGGGTCTTACAGAGTTGCCCAGATTGGCCTTGAACTTGCAATCCTCCTGCCTCATCCTTCTAAATTGTTGGGATTACAGGCATGTATGACCGTGGACCACTAGGCAGTTCATTTTTTTAAATGGACATTACTGAGGTCTGGTTACATGCATTTTAGTTCCATGTTTCAAGTTTTTGACAAAGTTATACACTTGTGGACCACCACCACAATCAAGATATAGACGGCTGCTGCTCCAAGAAATTCCCTGGACCTCAACCCAGTCAGTTCTCCTTAGCCCGCAGCCGCAGGTAACCACCGATCTGCTTTCTCTTACCGTAGAGTAACATTTCCTGGCATCTTACAGTTTGAACAAGCTGCGGATGAGTTTCTCTCACCCGTTAGGGGAAGTGTTAGAGACTGCTCACACTGAGAGCGGAGAGGGTTGACGCTCAGAGGAGGGAGACAGACCTGGGTCAACGGGCCCTGCACATGTCAGCACCGTCCTCTAGAGGGAAGGGTTACTGCAGCACAATGTAAGTATTGGTGTGTAGGGTGTAAGAACGGCTCCCTTTCCCTGAGACCATCTTGTCTGTGAAAACCCCATGGATGTCAGCGTTAGGTGGGTGTGGTATGCTGTAGAGATGTTTAAAAAGTTGTGTGCCCCAGAACTCAGCGCAGTGGAGGAGAGAGATCACAGGCGTACAAAGAAAGGGAAATGGGGTCCCTGGGGCTGAAGAGCAGGAAGGGTTCATGGGGAGGCAAATAGGACTCAGATGCCTGTAGCAGTGAGGGAGAGTGGGGATTGGGTTTGTTAGGGGATAGAGAGGAATTAGACTTTTACTTGTTTATGTCATTTCACTGATCAGAACTTTCACAGGCTCCTGTTGCTCTCAGGATAAAGTTCCAACAGTCCGGTTTGCTTGGTATGGCCCACAAGGTCCTGCGTTATCTGGTCAGTGCTACTCATCCTACTTCAGGTCTCACCATTGCTCTGTGAAAATTCCACAATCCTTGTACATCAAAGCACACTTGCTTTCTGCAAAGTGATATCCATACCCTCTCCTTGAGGCTTTTGAAAATGCTGCTATCCTGCCACCTTGTAAAATAGTTTCAATCTGCTGATACCTGCTCTGCTCTACTCTACTGCAAATCTCCCCTTCAACTCTTGTTGATTCTTTGTTGTAGTTTTTTTTTTTTTTTTTTTTTTTTTTTGTCGGGATCTTGCTTGGTAGTTCAGGCTGGTCCTGAACTCACTATGTAGCCCAACCTGGCCTCAGACTCATGGAGATCTTTCTGCCTCAGCTTCCTGAGTGCTGGGATCATAGGTGTGCACCACCATGCCTGGCCTCTTGTTCATTCTCAAGGTCTCAATCTGGCTTTCATGTTCTCCTACAAGAGCTTAAGTCTATTTTCTAGAGGCAGTAGAGTGATAGCCCCACGATACTATCAAGTCTGTCATGGCAAGGATCAGATCTGTCTTGTTCACTCTTAATTCCCTTATACCTAGCACAGTGTCTGGGGTATATTAAGGTCTGAGAAAATGAGTTGAATATGAATTCTGAGTGCATAAGCTATTCTTCAGAAATTTTCATCTGCGTGTGTTTGAGGGAGAGGAAGGAGTGAGCCTGGGATGGGAAGTGATATAAAAGGGCACCTAGTGGGAAGAGATAACAAGAAAAATGCACTAAATTAGCATTTTGTGGGGGAGGCTCATGTTTATATCTGCTTTGGCCATAGGGCTATGAATGATTGAAATTTGAACCACATACATTTAATGGTGACTTAAGAGCTAGGTGTTGGAGACCAAGGGGTTAAAAAATACTCATGATGTACCTATCATTCTCATTCAGTAATTATTTGTGGGGTACCTACTGTGTGCCAGGTATTATTGGCGATATAGCAGGAAACAAAACAGAAATCCCTGCTCTTATGGAGCTTGTCTTTTAGCTGGAGGTGGATTGTCAGTAAATAATAATCAGATGATGAAAGGGGCCCAGGGAGAAAAGTAAATCAGATAAGTGTAGTAAGAAATTCAGGGAAACAGAAGATTATCATTTTAATAAGGTGATCAGAGACATCCTCACAGAGATGTCCTTTGAGCCAAGGCCTTCAGGAAGTGAGAGTGAGGTATGTGACCACCGGAGCGGGGCTGGGTAGCGTCGCAGGGAGATGGCACGGGGTGTGTAAGTTCCTAAGGTGGGAGCCTGCTACACATGTTCTGGATCAGCAGGGAAGGGAGCGGGGAAGTGGCAGGAAATAAGGTTAGAGAGGTGCATCCCTTATCCCGCTGAGTTAACCAAATCACCCATGGCATATTGAATTGGTCATGATGGAGTTCCATGAATTATAACTTGTAATTAAAATGCACGAATGCCAGGCACCATAAACCATGACCAGCTCAAAACATCACTGGTAATGCCCAGTAACAACGTGTCCTTCCTGAAAACTGTGAGAATGCCATCTGGCTGCATGTGTACATGTGCAGGAGGAGTTCTGCAGCACTGCCAAGCATTGCCTGGCAGCTAGACTTCTAAGCAGAAAACCGAATTAGAGTCTTCTGTGAACTCCAGTTAAAAGCTAATTTTAGTTTATGACTAACAAATTTTAGTACCCCTTTATAACTCAGTTGGTTACCATTTAAAAAAAAATCGTCTGGAATTTTGCATCATTTGCCCACAAAAGCTAAAGAAAAGACTGGCATTTGGGATAATTCTGTGGTCTCTCAAGAGGGACCTCTAGGACACTTTTAGAAATATTGATCTAGATCAGTGATGGCGAACATTTCAGAGCTTTCAATGACACAAACAGCCCACTCTGACATGTGTGCCATAGGTTCGCCATCCCTGACCTAGATGAAGGGTTACTAATGTAGGGGTGAGGGACAAGATTGGGTACGAGGCCAAAGAGAGTCTTGGATAATTCAGAAAATTTGAGTTGATTACAGGGCCTGGGATCCTTAGATGAAGGGACAGAAGGTGAGCAGAATCTCAGAGAAGTTGATATGTTTTTGTATGTCCAAAGTAAGACACCCTCACTTTTGTGAGTCTTTATCTCAGTGTCATCCTTACACTTATCTTCTTCAGGCCCCGGGTAGCGTCTTTCTCACATTTGGCTCCTAAATGTTTCTCA